AATGTCATGAACAGAATGAACTGGTGAATATAATAGAATCAGGAGCATAGAAAGGGAGTGGACTGACTATTCTTGGAGGGGCAAGGGGTGTGGGGGGTGTGGGAAGAGACTGGACAAAAATTGTACACCTACGGATGAGAACAGTGGGTGGCAGGGGTAAGGGCAGAGGGTGGGGTAGGAATCAGGTGGAGGGGAGCTATGGGGGGAAAAAAGAGGAACAACTGTAATAATCTGAACAATAAAGATTTAATTAACCCCCCCCAAAAGCAAACAAAACACCAAAACACTATTTCTTAAAAATAGGCATCTCCTTATTACCACCCCACCCACTCAAACCAATACTCTACACCAGCGGTTCTCAACCTGTGGGTCGCGACCCCTTTGGGGGTCGAACGACCCTTTCACAGGGGTCGCCTAAGACCATCGGAAAACACATATATAATTACATACTGTTTTTGTGATTAATCACTATGCTTTAATTATGTTCAATGTGTAACAGTGAAATTACATCCTGCATATCAGATATTTACATGACGATTCATAACAGTAGCAAAATTGCAGTTATGAAGTAGCCACGAAAATAATTTCATGGTTGGGGGTCACCACAATATGAGGAACTGTACGAAGGGGTCGCGGCATCAGGAAGGTTGAGAACCACTGCTCTACACCAAAGGTGTGTCCCCAAGCAGCGTCCTCTCCTCTCTTACAGCCTGGGGGGGCCTCTGGAGATAACACACCTGGGTCGGCAGTTTCCTGAATCCTGTCTCTTTAAGACCCCACCTCGGCCCTCCAGGCAGGTGTTCAGCAGCGAGCGGGCTCCGTGGGGGCCGGCGGGATGCCCACCCGAGTTACTGAACAGAGGATGGCTGCCGGCTCACAGCTACTCTTCATTAAACCCCTGTGGGTGGGCACTCCGCTGAACGCCGCCAGCTTAATGCCCCCATTTTTTTAAAAAAGGAGGGGGAAATCTCCAACATGACAAGTTTAAATGTCCCCGTACTAAAGAGAAAACAACCTGCCAGAAGGATGAATCTGAAACACATGCACATTATTCTACTTTTTATCTATAACTGCAGAAACAAGACAGGCAGGAGCACGGAGCCTGCAAGAAAGTGTTCATATGAATATATAGGATATTGGTACATATCCTTCTTTCTTTTTTTTTTGTAACCACACCCTCTCTGGGTGGCTTCCCAGGCAATGCAACGCCAAAATAGCGTCACGCTGTCCGGCGGTCCGCAGGGAGGAGGGGGTCCCAGCAGCGACCCAGACAGTCACGGGCAGAGAAAGCCGGGT